AAGAGAGAAAAGTGAGTGAGAAAGACAGGAGCCTAAGGATTTAAATAAAACAGGTGAGGTCTCTCCGGAGACCACTCAAGAAATGAGACTAGGCAAAGGAAAAGGATTTTCATTAATAAATAAACTGTTACCTTCCAAAGAAGCCTGGCTGAGGTTGTGACAAAACATTAAAAGTGAGGAGGCAACCAAAAGTGAAATATGAAATAACTGCCCATTCTCACCTGGAAATCCTGCCAGGGCTAAAACTTTTCAAAGATTCTGTGTAATGTTCTTATAAAATAGATATCCTTATAACTTATTTATCTCAACCTTTTTTCACTTTTCTAGTGAGAAGTATAATGGTGTAAAATTAAATTATGAGCCCTTTGGTCTTCTGGGTTTAATTTTAGTAGATAGGTCCAATCCAACTATCTTGATAACTTTTTTTCTCCCTGGTTCAAACAGATTAACAGGAATCAGAAAATATGACACTTTAGGAATACAGATGAATCATTTGATAATTCACCTTATATTTATAAAATGTATATCTTAAAGATATTACATATATCTAATCCTTTGACCTTTTAGTTAATGAGTATAATAGTTTGGGCGATATGTGGTAAATACGGTTTCTGGAGACTGTGCTATTCACAGCAAAGTCACCTATTTATTGCAATAAAGTGCTTCCCAAGATGTATTGACCATTTTCATTTTTGCTTTTAGTCAGTCTCACTTCCCTCCTACCCTAATTTTTGGATTTTGAACTATGAAACTGGTAGCTAAAGTGTTAGGCCCTGGATTGTTGGCTGGCTTCTAGAGAATTTGTGGAAAAAATATTTTAAAAGAGAAAAAGATTTACAAATAGAATTGAGGTTTTCAGTATCTCTGTTGAAAGCACAACAAGATGCCCCCCCCCCCTTTTTTTTTCCGGTAAGAATGAGACCTGACTAAAAAATGCTACTTGGAATTTAATCATAATAATGAGTCCTCTCAGTAAACATCATTTACCAATCTCACATCCTATTTACCTAAAAATAACTAGAAGAAAAAAAATTACAATT